ACACACACACACACACACACACACACACACACACACACACACACACAAAAAAAAGAGAGGGTGAGAAGACAATGGCAGGCAGATAAGAGGCTGTAGAGACGACGAATCACCTCTCAGCCGCGGAGAAGAAAGAGGCACAGAGCGCTTTATTCATTCATCACTCAAACATTAAGCCAGTTTAGGCTTCCTACTTGGTTGAGCAGGAAACAAGTGGTCACTTTTCTGGTAAAAGAGATATTTTCGGTGCCATTCAGAACTCAAACCCACAACACGACAAATAGGTCTACTTGGAAAAATAATTTTTTTGTTACACAACTCAAAAGGTCTGTCATTCAGAGGTGTATTAGTTTGAGGCCTTGTTGCTTGGATGAGAGTACCAGCCTGCCCCCTGGTGGTCACCAGCGGTGCTTTTCGTGTCAAGGTTTCGTGTGAAGGCAGTGGACAGTCATGAAAATGAATATTTCACATGCAGAGAGTGTGGAAATGGAGGTTAAGCTGCAGAAACTATTTTTGTGTTAAAGAGCCAGTCCTACTGTATATGAGAATATTTGCAATGAATAATAATGATCTAAATAATTCCTTCTGATAAACATGAATAAATACTCAGGTTGTCACATGAGACATGACGTCTATGAGGAAACCTTTTCATTAAGTTAATAATAAAAGGGCCACAGGCTTAAGTTTCTAATTGTTCTGGTAAACGCTTAAAGAAAGAGCTATCAGCGCTCAAACTTCACTGTGGAGTGATGTAATCAAATTTCAAAGATTTCCCATCCATCAACTTACGCGCATCATATTTCTTCAAATGTGCTAAAGCATATCTATAGACTGGACTACGTCCTTTATCCAGCCGAGTTGACCATTTGTGAGTCTAAACATGCATAAAGTTTCATGTTCATGTGCAAAATCGTCACACCAAAAGCTGCAGCTTTCATTAGTTGTTGGTGTGATTGTGACAATATTTCACGGTGCAATAGTCAGCAGTGAAAGTTTGCCGTGTGGTCTCTTTTTTTAAAGGGGTTGTTTGCATTGACGATCCTCTCTGCCTCTGAGCACCAGTCCCTGTGAACCCGTCAAATAGATTTTCTTTTCAATAAGTCATTTATCCTCGCCTCTGCCTGTCCCTTAAGTTTCGCCCCGTAAACAGAACTAAATTACAGCTCCAGACTATTCATTGATTTTGGTCACACTGGTATTTAAACATAGACGTGCGTGGGATGAGGCTTTTAGAGCGTTGAAATGTCGCCCCACCGCCACACAATGAGCCCGAGGGCATGAAACTCGACACTTGATTGAAAAGCCTTTAGAGACGAGGCTGGAAAATTCTATACCGTTTTCACAAATATAACTTCGATCTAAACTCTATTTATGTTTGTTGTTGTAGCGGACTGAAGCTGCAGACTGTGCCGTCTTAAATCAGTCACATCAGGTTCATCCAGTTACGGTGCTTTAGAGACTTTTTTTTGTGTTCAGAACTAAAAACTACAAATTTGGTATAAATGGGTTAAGAAGGTGCAATGTGGAAGATCTGGCCACATGCTCCTAACAAATAAGGGGCATCATTTCACCTCTATTACTGGGTCCAGCCGCTCAAAATAACACCGCTATCTAGTCTTATAGTTCACGTTGCTGTGCGGTCGGTTTATTGGATTAAATCTCGAGGGGCAGAAACGGGGAAATAAGCCACACCTTCTTCGCCGGGGGGAGAGCGTGCGGTGGCTCGGGCAGACGGACAGCCAGTCAGCAGCAACTCAAATTCAGACAGCACAAACCCCCAGAGCCGGGAGTCACAGCGGGCTGGTGGAGGGCAGAGAGTTAGTCGGTCTGGCCCCGGTGTCGGGATTTGCACTAGCTGAATTCGAGCTAACTGCTACTGAAGGTCCGTCTCCAGGATCACGCGTCCATCTCTTCCCGGCAAAGCATCCTACCGGCGGCGGGGAGGACGAAACAAACAAACCTACACAGACCTGGTACCTTCAACGTGATTGACAAGCCCTTAGGGTTGCCCTGTTTCTTTGAGCAAAATATGTCAGAATGGACGCTACAGTTACTCACCATCGCCTTCTGAGGTACAAGTTGTAAGACAGGACGGGCCGGGGCTAGCTGGTACCTCAATACTAAGGTGTCTTTGACACAACACTGTAACCTCTTCAAATTCTGTTGATAAACTAAAATTCACACCAAATCTCACACATTGCACCTTTAAAAACTGACCACAAAAAACAGTCCAACTGCACATAAAGAGGTAAAATACTGTATCTAGATGGCAAGCACAGCTTTCTCTGCACAGAGCATCAATTTACTGCCGTTTAACAGAGAGTTTGACTTCCACTCTGGAGCTTAAATGTCCTCTGGGAGAGAGAAAGTGGGTGGAGTAGAGCAACGTGGGCTAAATCTAGATGGAAGTGTCAGACTCTCATCACAACCCCCCCCCCCCACACACACACACACACACACACAATTAACACTAATATTTATACAAGGAACTTTTGACAAGAGCAACTCTAACATGTTTGCTTTTTAATTATAAAGTCCTCATGTGGTTGATTGGATATTTGGGCGGTGGGAAGCTCAATATTAGGGGATTTAGTGTGAAACAGCATTAAAGAGGCAGGCCGAGCAAAGCCGAGTGCTGATGCACTTCCAATTATATATGATGCTAATCATTCTGTAATTTAAAAATGTTGACTATAGACTGCGACTCCGTAATCATTAAGAGCATAAAATGGCACAAAAAGTAAAAATATACACTTAAAAAAGTAATTATTATTAATACATCACCATTTATAGGGTTTCAAAATAAAATAGCTCAAACTATAAGTAGAAAATGAATCGGAAACGATGTTACATGTGATAATTAAGACATTTGAGGACCCTAAATTAAGCTAGACCTGCATAATATGAGATACATATATATGTATGCTGATGGGAGTACAAATAATGTTATGCATACGCCACCTGTTTCTCCGAGCTCATAGAGTGTAAAGCCATCAATCTGGAGGTATCCTTGGAAGCGCTCCTTGTTCACCCATGATGACAAACTAGCATCTGCGTACTCTGCAACACAAAGACAGAATCTCCTTTCAGAGGCACAAAAATCGACATTCAGCACACAACCAGTCTATATTAAAAGCAAAGCACAACGGCGTATTGATGCCTGGATTGTAAGGAGATCACAGTGTTTACCACTCGTGTGCTCTCGAGGGAATAGAGAGCGGGACACGAGCTGAGCTTTCAAAGACAGGTTAGCGAGACAATGATCACAAACGGTTATGACAGCCGGCTGCCTCTGGGTTAAGTAGTCAGGGAGGCTATTGTGGGTCTGACAGCCAATGGACTGCAAGTCAGAGCTAGTGGATCAATCAACCTGAGAATCAATCCAGTAGTCAATCAAAGGCATCAGTTTGGTTGTTAAGACACGAATGAAAGAACATTACGTTCAGCCCGATAAGCATTCATTTCGTACTTAGTCAGTTGTAAAGATATTCAAAAAAAAACGCAATATTCATTCAAAATAGATGCTGGTTTTTTTCTGGGACGCTGGCTCAACTAACCTCATTTTCTTCACAGCTATTTTGCTTTTCTGTCTTTAAAAAAACAAAAACATTTGTTTTGTAAATGAATCTCCGCATGTACAGACATTTATTTTCAGGGCAGATTTTTACACATTTGGAGCAAATGAATAATTCAACAGATGCATTAGGGGGGAGAAAAAAGAAAGAAAGAAATGAAGTGCAACAAATGGAAAAAATAAATAAATAAAGTAAAATAAAAGATTGCTTGCTGAATGTGAACCACATGTTTCTACCCTAACATCTGGAAGGCAACATGCAAACGGGAACCGGAGTCTGTCCCCGAGGGTTTCAATAGGGTGTAGCGAGGCTGCTCCCACAGCACCGCTTTCTCCGGCTGGGAGAGGCTACAGGATGCTCATAATTGATGTCAAATGTAGCCGGGACCTCATTACGACATGTTCATAAGTTATCACGACCCCTCTGCTACTGGTACAGTAATTACAGCAACGCTGATGACTTTTACGTGGTTCTTAAGCTGCTCCCCAAACGAGCACAGTACCGAACATGACAACCTAAAACCTGAACACCCGAGGTCGTAGCATGTACTAGATTCAAAATGACCTTATTGCAATGCAATCCAGTCCTTACTGCTGCTGTGCAAAGGCAGAGTTGTTGTTAAAGGCTGCTGATTCAAAATGACCTTATTGCAATGCAATCCAGTCCTTACTGCTGCTGTGCAAAGGCAGAGTTGTTGTTAAAGGCTGCTGAGTCAGTCAATCTGGTAGACATTCCAGAGAGTTCTTTCCACAGATGTTCTGGCTTTATATAGACAGCATGCAGCTGCCCGACTCTTCTCCCAGATGCAAGAAAGAGAGAGAGCGAGCTAGCTAGCTAGCTGAAGGCCCCATGCTGGGACCGTACAGCGCGACGAACCTCCGCGCCGACTGAACCTGCTTCACCTTGAAACAAATTAGAGCTGCTCTCTTCGCGGGCGCCCACCTCGCAATCACCATACAGCCCTACAGGAGCCTGTCAGCCCAGAGTTCACACAGCTGGAGACGAGCGAGAAAGATGAGGGGAGGGGGAACAACAACAGACAAGAGGGTGGAGTGAGGATGATCCAGTGTCAGAGCTTCGAGCGCGGGGAGGAGGCAGCTCTGACACGTTTCAAAGATGGAGGTTAATGGTACGGAGGACCTCCAAGACAATGCAAATAGTGCAGAAACTGAACCAGTGGGAGAAACGTGGGTGGGTGGGGGGGGCTGAGGTGATGGGAAGCATGTGCGGAAGAAATGTGTCGCTTAGCTATGGAATCAGCTACCTGATGTGTAAGAAAGCAGGCCGGTTGTTTTTTAACACGTTCTCCAGCTCATTTTAGCACGTTAGCATGCTAACATTCACATTTTAACACAGGGTACAGATGAGGCTGATGGAAATGTCAAAGAAACCAAAGTTTTGGACCAATTGACTCATAACTGGATGACGGCACAAAAGGTAAAGTCGGGGGATCCCTGAAGTCCGTAAGATTCAACCTTTGGGGACCATGAATGTTTGTAGAAAATGTCCTCATCCATTCTGTAGCTGCTGAGGTATTTCAGTCTAGACACGAGAGAGCGAGAGAGAACCCACTGGTTTGTGGGCCGTCTATTGAAGCCTCGAATTCAGCATTTCGGCACCCGTCACCTAAAGTATACCCTGCTAGATCGTCCATTCTACTCTAAATGGGACCATATTTAACTAAATGAACATCATGCTGTATTGAAGAAGACTTAAAAACTAGCAACAGACCATAAAGGCCATTAGAAAGAATGCCAGTTTAAGACACTTCAGCGTTGGCCGCCTGGTACCGACCAAAATTAGAACCAACAAAGGACACACCTGGTTTGTGATGCAGTAAAGATGTTACATGTGTGGAAAATATGGCTAACGCTTCCTCCACACCGACCTTGCCAACTCAAATAACCAATGAAGTCAATTCTCTCCATGTGTGCCGTGACCAAACGTCACATAACATCAGTGTTTTATTACCTTTTTAGGTAATCACAGTCATCTACTGTTAAGCCGCCTGTCAGTTAAGTGCTGCTGATAAACAGATGTAAAATAGTGCCACCTCACAGCTGGCTGTGTCATGTCCATGTCCATACAAGGAGAGGCCAAAGCACTGACACAGATTAACAGAGAGCCTGACGCTGAGCCTTACATAATGTGTATTAAAGGGGAAATTCACCACATTTTATGTGGGAGTCCACTGTCCAGTCAGTGCTGCTGGAAATAGTGTGGCTTTATTGACCAAGAAAGCTGATTTCACCCGTTGTGGACCAAGATGCATTGCATGAGAGCGTCAAGTTCACTATGTCTGATGAACAAACTCACAGAAATGTCAATGAAGAAAATACTCTTTAACCTAAACAGAAAAATACAACCTTCTGAATTCAAGTGTCTTAACAAGCACATCTTGTTTACTCTTTCTACAGTTCAAGCAAATCGGTCGACATTGGTCAAATAAGTCCTTAATTCACAAACGATACATTCAATCCCGCAGAAGGATTTTGTTTGTCGGCTCCACCAGGTTCTGGATGGTCCCCATCGGCCATATTCTCCCAGCAGCAGCATCCTCGAGTGGCCTCTCCTCGGTTGAATATCCGAGTCAGCCAAAATACTGTAAAATCGACTCCGTAGGAATCCTCGCCCACAACATCCTCTGCACTCATGTTGCGATGCCATTTTCGCTGTTGAAAAACGTAACACAAGTGAAGAGAACAAGGATGTGTTTGAGCGGCTTTGCGGCCCACACCACCAAAGCTGAAGTAGCACTCTGTAGTTCTTCCTTTCCTCCAACGACGACAAATTACGTCACTGGAAGGAGGAAGAACTACAGATGTTGCAGCTGTTCCCCAAAGACAACGGGAACATGGGCAACACCCGCAGGCGTTTTTCTACATCCCTAACTCAGACGGGATAGAGATATGGTGGAAAATCTGCACGTTTTCTCTTTAACACTCAAAAACATCTTTGAAAAAAAACATCTCTGGCGAGTGCAAACAGCATGCTGTGCAGACTAATATACATCCTAATTATATCTTTCTGTTGTCTTCTTACAGCGCCAGCATGTAGCCCAGTAGATTTCCCTGCACACACACAATGATCAAAACCATATGGCCCTTAAAGCAAAACAACAGCGCAGCCCTGTACAGCAGCATGAAACTAAGGGTTTGAGTTATTAAATATGTATGAGCTGGAGCCTGCTGTACTATATTCTAGCAACGCTCTTCAAAAAAGGATGCTGCCACTTGTGATGCGCACTAAACCAATCAAAGCTCAACTAAATGTCAAATATCATCTCGCACAAAGCCAGAGGCCGCGTTTGGACAGCGTGACGCCGCTTCTATGGCATCTATTGTTTAGAAACACAACGAGTCAGACCTGCACAATAAGAACAGCAAACGTGCTCCGAATGTCTCATAAGCAGATTGAATCTGAATCACGAAACAAATACAAAAACAAGGGGGAGATGATGAAAGTTGCTTTTAAGGCTCCGTAGCTGGTGGATTTACAACACAGCTAATAAATAATGTGCGTTATTCATCCAACACTTCATATCAACACTTTCATTGATATCATAGTCTGCCATAAAACACTGTCACTGGGTGACTATGCAAAAATTTAGTTAAATAGCATTCGATTAAAAAAAAAAAAAAAAAAAAAAAAAAACTTCCTGCATAAGGTGCCTCATCCAACATCGGACCAGTCCTCTGAAAAACACAGCACAGCTGGAAAGAAAAGCAGATGCTGAGGACTACAGATGGTTAAAATGGGATCAGGAAAACCATTTCTGTAATGCAGAGCGAGGACGTCATCGTAGGTAAGTGCTTAATGAGCTGTACTCTCATTACCCTTCATCCATTTTCACCTACAATAACCAGCGTCTTTCTTTAACAATTCCTAGACCCTTAAAAAGGAGGAATCCGCCATGTGAGGAAGGACACGCGACGCTCCCCTTCTCAGTCCTCGACAAGCTATAATGTGCCGTCGCCATGGCAATGCCAGACATCGGCCACATCCTCCGTATCAAGGTCCTGGAGGACTCTGCCGAGTGTGGAGTTTTCGTTATCAACGTCTGCTGCGGCGAGCCTCTCCTGCTGCAGTTCTGGCGCGGGAAGCCCCCGTTCCGTAACGGCCAGGTGGAGCAGACGGACGTGAGCTGGCGGGCGGCGGCGGAGGTGGATTTCGTCCTCCGGGCGCTGCACCGCGCACCCGGTCTGCCCAACGGCCACTACTGGGGCCCGTTTGTGTTGACGCTGTGCCTCGACGCCCTTCCCTTCCGGTTCCGCCTGCCGGCTCGGGCCCACAGCAGCAGCAGATTACAAGACATCATGGGGGAACGTGGTGAACTCAGGTTGTTGCGGTGAGAAGCTTCGAATTAGGCAACAGAACAATAGAGCAGCTCCTCTAAACCTCTTATGTCAGAGAGACTTGACGGCTGCTCCAGTGAGTCAACTCCTGGCTTTAAATGACTGTATACACTGTGCCAGCTCTGCACTCATTTCTTCGACCTCAACTGTGGTCTCTCACGCCCATCCACCCCGACCCGCTATGTACGTCCGCCCAAAAGACCGCGCACACAATAGTGGGCAGAGCCCCGGGTGCTTTATGATGGGCCAGGCACACCATAACTCAATGTGGTGAGGAAGATGAAAGGACAGCAGCAGAGACCGGAAAACTAAAAGAACACAGCGAGAGCAAACAAGGATGGCAGGGAAGGAAAGAGGAGACTGGGAGCAGTGCACAGAGAGCGCCCTACTGGCCCTTTAAACGGCAACGTAGATAACACAATACTCACCATCATAGGTAAAGTAGGCCCCGTCCTTAAAGACTACAACCGCAGGAAGCTCTGGCAAAGTTACCGACTGTTGAGAACACAAAAACATATTTAAGTCAAAACCAAGTTCCATAAATCATTGTTACTTGATGGTTGTTGGTGCACCTGCAAAATGTGGGACAAGACTGTTGGCAGCAGAGCTTTGCGGCAAACTGTGAAACGTGTAATGTTTTGCATAATGCAAACACAGCATGCAGGCCCGGTATCTGTATATGCAGTTGAGGCTACGCTAAAAGAATTAATTATTTACAATTTAGAGAAATAGCACAGATAGATATTTACTGGTTGCACAATACTCAAGAGTATCAATAACATGTGATGACAAAAATATGGGACTCTCTACAAATGATAATTTTTCTGAAATTCAAAGGGGGGCAAATTCAAAGTGTTACCTCTGGAAAGACTTCCTCTGAAGCCGAGAAGAAATAAGTGTAGACGATGAGCTCGGAGGCGACGTCGTTGTACTTCTCCTGCAACGGCAAACAACTCTTTCAGCGCGCACACAATAGCTTTCAATAAATCGGTGTTCAAACAGTTGCAATTCAGGTCACTACAAACTTCTTTGTTAAAATGTGTTACAGCAGCAGCAGCATGTCTATCCTGCAGTCAATACACAGTTTTAGCATCGCGGCTCTGAAGAAGCTTGAATAAAAAAAAAAAAATTAAAAAAAAAAAAACCTGGATTCATGTCTTTGTGTCACAAATAGTGCTTACTTTGAGGGGGGACTCCCCGCCGACGTACACAAAAAGCACATTGTGTCGTTTCATCATGTGCTTGAACATCTGCTTGCTGGGAAGCGCCCTGACGGCGGGTCTGGAGGGGGAAATAAAACCCGCGCAGATTAGCTCATGTTAATGAGTGAAATCCATTCAGCACAAAGATGGCACACTAATGCAATAACTGATGTAGAGGCGCCAACAGTTCTGGTCTTGATTCACGTGCTGGTGGCTCCACCCAGTGGAGACTCAGCAACTCACAGCCCTGAAGTGAGAGCCAAGCTTTTGATCACCCCCCTCTGTCACGGATCAAGATTGATTTCCCTCAAGGAGGAGGAAATCTGTCAGGCACAGTTGATACAGTGGCTTAAACTGGAGCATCGGAGGGGGAAACCCATTGAGCTATGAAACAAATGCGGGCTGCATTGATGAGCTTGCTCAGATGGTTCCTATTAGCGCAGCTGTGAAATGAAGGGAGTTCTACTTCATTATCAGTTTGCTGTCTTGTTTTTGAAGCGGTGGTCGGAGGCTTACCCTGCCACCCTGTTGGCAAACTCTACGATGTCATCTTTTGTCCTCGGTCCTTTGTAGTTATAGGCAAGATCCCCCTTTAACCTGAGGAGGCGGGACAGACACCAAACAGAGCGTGAGAGGCTGATAATTCAGACGTACCATTCCTTATCTCTGTGTCATTCATCCGCTGCCGGGTGAAGACATTCATGCGAAAATAAAATGGAAAAACAATTACGTGACATTGAACTTTGCATTCAGGATATCGAGTTAGTCTGAAAAACCTCATTCGGTGAGAATATGAAATAATATAAAAAGAGATATTACAGTCGAGGCAAAGCTCGGTCAGCGGACAGAAAATCAATCAGCAACTACTTTGACGTTCAATGAATCGCTTTTGCTGTCTGATAAAGCAAAGATGGGAAATATTAGCTGGTTCAAGCTTCTCGAATATCAACATTTGCTGCTTTTCTATATTCTAGTGGTCGCTTTCTTCGTTTCACCTTTTTTATACTGGGTAGGTATTACACTGCGCCCAGGTATTAGACGGCACCCAGAACAGGCTGAATTCTTTGTGGCATTGATTGAACAGGAAGCTGGAATCCATGGATTTGTCGGATGCACAGAACATCCCTTCCCACCACATCCCAACAGATGCTCTGTTGAGTTAAATGCTCGCAATAGAGAAACTGATTAACTTGGTTGTAAACAGATTATCTTTGGGAATTAGAGACCTGGGCCTCTCAAAACCTGTCAGAAGCATTGTCAACATTCTTCTGTGCCGCCACCCCCCACCACCACCATCATGTCTCGTTTTCTATGTGTTTTAGGTTTGTCATCTCTGTTTTGTCGTATCATTAGTCAATTTCTGCACTTTTTTACTGTGTAAAGCACTTTGGTCAACTGCAGGGTTGTTTTTTTAACTGCGCTAAATAAATAAATAAACTGACTACTCAGCAGTTACATTAATTAATAAAGAGTAAAAAGAAATCGATAATGAAAAGAGTCCATTAGTAGGGGCCCTACTTGAGTCCATTAAAGACAGCAGCTGTCTTTGGAAGTATCTGACAAGCTGTCTATTTCAAGGTGAGCTAATGAAACAAATCCATCAGGAAACGCTTATTCATCACAAAAAGTTCGACTTCATCTAAATCCTCTCGCCTCCAATGAAAAACAAAAACAAACGACTGGCCCTCATTGAGTTCCAGCCAAAGAAAGCTGCTGGAGGTCCTCCAACCAGCAGAATGCATGAAGGATTGCTATGGTTGCATCAGCCCACAGGGCTTAATGAACTCAGGGGGGGGGGGGGCTGAACTCTAAATCTAGTCTCCTCCGCACCGAGGGAGACTTCTCGTGTTCTTCGACGGATGTTTCATCACTCGCCTGGTTTGATGTTATGAACCCTGCCGTGTTATCCTGTGGCGGTTCTTCCCAAATGAGCTCGATGAAACTAAATGGGGAGCCCATTACGGCAGCGAGCAGTTAAATGAGTCCGTATCGAATGCGCAGAGGATCGCTTGTCTCAAGTCAACACGAGTTGTGCCGTTGAGCAGCTGGCGTCGACCCAAATTCATCCATTTTATATAAAAGATAAAAATAAAAATGTCACTTGCACTTCACGAGAAATGAAAATGAGGAATCAGTTGATGTAGTTCACAAGTGGCTGTAGCACCAAACATTGATTTATCAATAAATCAAAAGATAAACTGGGATATGCCTGAGAAAAGTAAAATATAAGAGTCAAATTGAAATGACTGGAGATGATTTTAAACGGTTTATCGCACAAGAAATGTATAATTAACTTAAGTGCCGAAGCTAATACAATTTTAGCTCAAGAAGGTGTGAAGGTGTGTCACTTAGTTGTGTCTTAAGGAAGCAGCAACAACACCTTGTTCCCTCGTGAATAAGTCGTCTAACGGCATCTCAACAGGCCAAACCTCAGGGGAAAGACGACAACATTGCCTGATAATAATAATAATAATAATAATAATAATAATACAAACTAAAGTAAAGACGCTTTATATAATAAAGTAGAACACCAAATTATAGCCTCAAAACTGACGGTAAAGTTGAATCAATGCCTCTCTGACTCAAGCTTAATAAATACTTAAGACTAGTGTTATCTGCAGATATATTCTATTGAGCTTATTATCAGTCTGTGTCAGAACCCCGTAGGTCCGTACAAAATTCAATAAGCCTTTTAATCTCATATGGATTTATTTAGGCCTTTGCAAAGCTGCACGGAGTGGCTAAGAAAATTACAGCAACTTGCAAAAAAGAAAAAGTGTGCACGGTGTTTCATTCATGATCACACAAAGTTTTGTGGTGCATAAAGCTTGTTTTTCTGTCACTTACAGTTTTATTGTGGGGTAACCACGAACACCGAACTCTGACGACATTCCTGCAACACACAAAACAAACATAGCATCTCAGACAAAAGAAAGACATTAGAGAACCATCATTGTCTTCAGAAGTTTGAAGTATCCTGGGATTCAAATACTGGGATTAAAGGAGTAGTTTGACATTTTGGGATATTTCCTTCTTGCCGATAATTAGATGAGAAAATAGACGGCACTCTCACGTCGCTACAGAAAACATGAAGCCAGGCTAAGCTAACCCGTTATCTGTAGCATTATATTTAACAGACCTAAAGCTCATCCAACTCTCCACTACAATATAATAAACATGTTTCCCTAAACTGTTGGAACTATTCCTTTAAAAGCACCGTGGATTAAAACAAAAAGGTACCAGTCTGTCAATCAATAAATGAAATGTGTCCGTGGATTACGCCTAAAACTAATTTAATGGAGGATTACCGTAATTTTACTCACAATATTAATCTTTCACTGTATGATTATTGTGGCATAACAATGTCATAATAATAAAACAAAAGCCATCTTTAATATCGTCTATGGTGCTTTTAATGAGACCTGAAAGCCTTTCACATACAGGGCTTCTCACCGTGTTGTTGAACAACAGTCAATTAGTTTGATCCATCTCCAGCACATGAAGTAACCACCTGGGGACGACCGGGCAGCAAGGGAAGCCCCTGAAGCGCTCCGTCGTTAACTCACCAGAGTACGCGGTGGCATCCATCTTTCCCACGCGGACCGGCGACCCGGAGCTCTTCAGCTCCACTCCCACGTCGTGCCATACTGGCTCCAGTTTCTTACAGTAGCCGCACCACGGCGCATAGAACTGAAGAAGAAGAAAAACAGGAGAAGGAAGCTTTAGGTCACGTGCAACATATTGTAAAAACATTATGTTTATTCAAAATATAACAGCATCTATAAAGTTAATAACCAAATCTCTATTCTACATTATTTTAGAATCACACACAGTTTTGTAGATTACTGTCCTGAATTTTGAGTGCGTTTGCACTATTGTACTTTGGAGGACTTTGTGATATTGTGTTTGACCTCCGGAATAGATTCTTTGTGTACAAAAGGACAACACTGGATCCTTAAAGAATGGGAGCAGCAGTCGGGATGATTTGAATGCACGGCTGCCAATTAGGACCCCGATAAAGGGCTATTGTTTGGCCACTTGAAGGCAGCGGATGTAAGCGAAGGTTGATCCATCCAGCCGGGAGCCATTCTTCACTGATGTTTTTCGCCACTTTAATACCAGAACATCTTCTGGTGGTGTCCTTTCTTGGGAACCAGAGCTCCCTCGTTCTGCCTCCTCCCCAGGTCTTTGGGAGCCTTCCTCTGCTTATAGCCCAAGTGCTTAGGAACGTCTGAGTGGATGTTCCAGTGTAGCCCTCTGCCACCACCTTCCACTGGACAGGTGATCGCCCTCCACCCTCCATTCCCTCTCATCTCCCTGACTTCAGCTGGAGATCGAGGTCAGCTCTCGTGTTCCAGTGGCCTCTGGGTGACAGAACCACACCGTCATGCTGCTGCTCTGAGCCTCACCCCCCTTTTGCCTGACAAACTCGGATCGGCCGCTGTGCCGTTTCCAGCCTGCATGCCTCCAGGATTTTGGCTAGCTTACGCAGGGCCTCGACGTGACGCCATCCGTACTGGCCCTTCCAGACAGAGAGGCTATGCTGCAAGCTCGGGTTCTGGGAGTTGCAGAGTTGGCAGGTCTCCTCTGAACCGTACCAGAGGTGCAGGTTAGGGGGGACCGGGAAGTTAATCGCTCCCAAACAGCGCCATGTTGGAAAGACATCGAAGAAGGCCCAGCTATTTACAGTTAGTTGTAACACTGACATACCCCCTTTTAAGTTGATACGATGAACTTGTTATGAAACAGTTAATTTGTTGCAGTGGTGTTTCTGGCCACCTGATAAATGTAAGTCCATTATTAATTCCAATTTGAGCTCCGTTTTTGGTCTCTACCAACTGCTGAGGGAAGTATCCGACTCTTTGAGAGCTAAACGCTCCACTAAATTCACCCGCTAGTCGCCAACTGTGTCTGTCTGCTGTTGGGTGCAGCACATGTACTGTAAAGTGGGTTCATTGTTTAGCATTTTTTGCTGCCAACAGCCGGACAACTTCTGCTGGTAACAAGACTGACAACAGCTGTGAAAACTAAACCATATCGTTAATGTGCCATAAAGCCAAAAGAGCTGCACAGTTGGCAAATAATTCTCCGTGAGTTGATCACTGGAAATGAGACTGTGTACATTTGATTCTTTGCTGTTATAAAAACACTGATTAGTGGAGCTTACAGTATGTAACTGGCAGTAATTCAGGTCAAATACTCCCCAAACAAACCCTTTTCTAGTGGATTTGGACAATTTAGTATTTTAGACAAGGACTCACTGCTGCAGCCCGGACGTGAAGTGAAAGCAGCTTTGGGTGCTCAAGCTTGGTTTGCTTGTATGGACTCAGACACAAACTGATATAAACCCATCCGAGCCCCCTGGCTTTGCCCCGCATGCATGACTTGTCATTCACTAATCACAAACACAGAGGACAGTCTGCACACCCCCTCCGAACAGCCCATCCCGGCCACTGCCACTTCCGCAAGGGATGATCCGGACAGTGGCGTGGTGGATGTGAATTAAAGCATAGCTGAATGGACCCAGACTGTGTGTGTGTGTGTGTGTGTGTCAGACTCACATCAACCAGCCAGACATCGTTCACTCTGGTGTCTTTAAATCTGTCACAAAAGAAGAATGAATGACAGTTAGATAAAGTTATTCATATTCAAAATACTGAGGAACTGCCATCACACGATGCATGTTATATATTAAGACATTAAGAATAGTTACTATTCAAGTTATGTCGATACGACTTATTTGTAAAAAAAAAAAAAAAAAAAAAGCTGAACAAAAAGAGACAAATAAGAGGATCTCACAAACACAAAGGCAAATGCACAAGCCAAACTTGAGAGAGGAAGTAAGCACTGAACTAAACTCAGATTTTTTTGGTATACTCAGAAGTTGCATTAACACGAGCACGTTATAATGCCACAGCAGCAGGAAGGTGACATATTGAAGCAGGGGTGCATCACTTACGTGTCATCTAAATCTTCAACAAATGCAAGCACGGCCGACGCCAGGAAAGCCGCTACAACTGTAACATTGAAAACAGAAGAGTACAGGTTAGCTTAACGCGAACAAGAGCTTTCTACAGTCTGTATATTGTCCCTGAAACCTCATGACTGGAGAGCATCACCAGCTAATGCTCGTCCCAGAGCTAACTGAGCATCAATATTTCCCTTCACAGTTTCGACAACAAGGAGCTCTACGGGTCGTTTTAACAGCTGCTGTGATGACGTGTTTAGTGTAGCTCTAAACGTATTAATTAAAAATAGAGGGAACGTACCGCCACAAATCAGGGAAGCTTTCACTTCTGCCATCGCTTCGAGTGGAAACAGCAATCAGGAAATACAGCTGCTAAAGCCAGCCAGTCTGCGCATGCGCGTGGGTTACTCCGACTCCCAGCGGCTTCTTCTTCTTCTTCTGGTTTTACGGCTCACGGCTGCATTTAGAAATTATTTTAAAATATAAATTTTAAAAAACTATAACTGGTGCCTGATTTTTAGTATTTTTAAAATACTATCAGTGCATTTGATTTGACTTTGGAAGTAAAACAATAAAAAAAATATGCCACCATAACATTTTCTGCATTTATTCATGAATATCGATACTCACCACAAGGTGGCGCTCTAAGATAATTAACAAGGGCAACAGGCCAAACTTCCACTGCTTGTATTCTTTACATACTTTAAAATATGTGCTACATAGCTATGCTACAATCCTGCGTTCAAAATGATAGTGTAGTATAATCAGCAAAATGTGCTGTAGGTATGAAAAGTAGTCTACTCAACATTAATATAGCCAGATGTTTTGTCGTGTTGGTAATCATATTTGTTCTGTTGGTAAACTCATTATTTGATTACGCACATTAGCAACAATTTAATTTAGTTGTCGCCAAAGATGTACTTTCCCTTTTATCTTACATGTCAGATAAATGTGGTGGAATAAGATGTACAATACCTCCCTCTGAAATGTAGAGAAGAAGAAGTAATGTATGGCTATGAAATAGAAAATACTCACATAAAGTGCAGGAACCTTGAAATTGTACTCAAATGCAGTATTGAGCAAATGTACTAGCTGCTAGTAAATGTATTTCCATCACAATTTCCACACAAAACACCAGATGAACATTTATTTTATTGGAAACATATTTGTTTTGCTTTGAGAATAATAATTTGTTTCTAATACTGTCTGAATAGCTTTAAAAATATCAAACATGTTACCACATGAACTATATTTTCAAAAGGTTATAACTCATATTATCATCATTCAAGCCTTTTGATATACGTACACACACAAAAAAATCTCACATCACACATGAGCACATAAAAAAGTTACAAGTCCTAAAATGGTTAGCTTCACAGAGTGTGGCAGAAGTTTACAAAATAAATAAAATCTTTTGTGTAATATTATTTCCATATTATCAGTCACACTGAATCCTCTAATCGCTGGCATGAGTGTCATTTTAGTCATAACATCGCAGAGACTGCAGAATATTTATTATGTGTTACTCCAGCCTGCAAAGAGTCCTAAGATAGAACAGAGGTCTTAGTAGACATTTGAAATATGAACTAATCCAGCATTTAATAAACATGTCTTCTCTGAAAAAGAGAACATTTGTCCTTGGTATGCAAATTTAAATACAAAATGTCCTTCTATTGAACCATATTGATCGATACCACTAAGTATGCTGGGACTTTTTCCAACTGTAACTTTTATATCCTTCGATTCTAGCCGTCATTCTTGGAGAAAAGAGAAAAACAAAAAAGAAGCGTGAAATAGTTTCGCACCGTGAGAAAGGGCTGTTCTTTCTCGTGGGGTGAATGGTGATCATGACTGTGTTACTAAACAGACTCATGCGGAGGATGGTCCTGTTGAAGCCCCGTGTGCCAAGTTTGTTCGGGTCCAATGCCTTTTGTATTTGGAGGGGGGGCAGGAAAGTGGACGCATGCTGTGAGGCCACAATGACTTCTGATTGACTAAACTGTTAAAAACAATGAATACAGATGGACTTCCTTTCAGTTAGCCCTACACAAATATACATTTTGTTTTACTTTTCACCTGCATTCAAAACACATGTTGTGCTCCGATGAGTTCCACGGTTTAAACAAGGCACTGAGAGAAGTGAGAGTAACCCAGAAAACCTTCAAAAGGCAGGACTTTTAATGAAGTGTTTGATTATTTCCCACACTTGTTTTTTCCTATTGAAAGTTTTAGTACAGCAAGATCGTTTGTCTTCTTATGAGATAAAGAGTGGACTTGTTCCCGCGTCGCAGGCCGAGCTGCAGACTCCCACATTCAGTAAGACTCCAGTCAGCTGTCTGACTGAACCCACACGCGTCATCTTACCGAACGGGTCAGATGTGACCTCAGTTGACCCAAAAAACAAAGATTTCTTTCCCCTATTTCATCACTCTTCACATGGCAACAACAGCGGTGAGAAGATCCAGTTGTCCACATAACGGCAAGAATGTTTCCCCGCTCTATTATATCAAATCATTTTTCTTTATAAACATAAAATAAGCAACGTTACACAAGCTACATTACAAACACATATTATAATTTATAATTCAGACAAAACCTAATAAACAATATCACAGACATCCAAAAAGGCAGCATCAAGTTCTCACTTTGGAAAGTTGTGGCAAAATGATGTCTTAATGTGTATTTTCTGTAATTTGACAGTAATCCAAGAACCAAGTAAAACACACGCATATACGGTATACTGTATGTTTATTCTATTAGCATAAAAAGCTTCATTATTTTTGCATATTTTTATGCTGAAGTTTTAAGCTGGTATTTTACAAATAAAAAAAGTTCTGGTGAAAATCGCACCGTAAACAAACATCATACGCAAAGCTTCGTGACAGCTTCCTGTATTCCCGCAGGAATAAAACACCAGAGTGGCGACACCGTGGACAAAGAAAAGGTTTAAATGAGTAGACGACAGGCGGATGTTCCTCCTGGCAAACCGGAGAATGAACGCCAAAGATGAGACAACCGAGATATAAAAAAGACAGAGTGCTGGTTGATACTGCTATGTTTTTCAGTAACAGTGAAAGGTCCAATACTGTAAATGTGACTCCAAGTTCAGGTTGATGTGTGGCCCTTTCTCCTCTTAGATGAATTCTTCTGAAACCTCTCCAGCTGTTTGCATCTGCTCCGGGACTGAAAGGGGCTTCACTGTTGCTGCCACAGGTTGCGTGAAATACATTAAAGCCCTCTGCAGCCGACATACAGACAATCCTGTCAAGTTTCTTCTTCACACACTCTTGTAAGGCTCTGAATGAGGCACACTGGTGACGTCGCTTAAAGTGGCAAAAAAAGTGGTGCTGCCCGAAATTTACCAGGACGAGCAGCATTTACTTGGAGCAGCTATGTGCAGCGTTGCATAGCCAGGTTCCCTTTAAGAGTATGTATTCCTCTGTGGCAGCATCAGATGTCCATCAACAGGCATCACTTGTTCATTCCAGGATGTCAGTTTCAAATGGGACCAGATGGTAGTAGGAAAGGTTGGTGACATACGCTTCTGTTTCCTCCTCACACAGGTCTGCTTCCATTGGCAGAAACTCGGTTCCATCCTCATACCTGGCAACAAAATGAAAGACACATTACTCCAAGGAGAGGATGGAACCGTTGGTCTATAAACAGGGATCAAAAGCGTTGATTAAAACCCCCGTGTAATGGTCTACATCAATCCATAGAGACTCTATTTGCTTGTACAAGTAAGAAAAAAAAAGTAGTCTATTTAAGAGTTCTGTAAAGTGTTGTTTTATGTGAAGGAATGTGTTCCTCTTTTGATTCCTTCCCACACCCAGGGAAGGAAGAGGTGCACAGACACACTTCCTGTTGGGGGGGTGGAGGGTCCTGGGGTTGGGTCACATTGCAAGGACTTCCCCACTCACCAAAACAGTCAAGAGCAAACATGGTAATCCTCATATTTGTGGGAAAATAAGCAGTTTATTTGTTCATCTTGCAGATGGATTGACCAAAAAGAAAGAAATATTGAGGAGTGGTCTTAACACTCACGTATGTTCCACAGAGTCAGTGGAGGAGGGTCTCTCTTTTTCTTCAGGGAGACTGTGATCAAATACGATGGTCTCTGTGTTGGCCAGACAGAATCCATTTGACCGCATGATTTCTGAAAAGGTCCAGAGTGCCGGTTAAGTCATCACGACAAGCAACGGTGGCTCCATTTATTTATTTATTTTTTGTATACTAGATATACATACCGGATATTTTGTATGGACTCTGGAAGCACGGCTGGATTCTGTGGACTTTGTCGTTCCTCAGCACCTGGTCCAGCGGCGATCGCTCAAAGAAAGTCAACATCACCTCCGACCTGGAATACTGTGGAGTCGGGATTGTTAGCGATCTAGTTTACAAACATCTACCTTCATGAAAACCTTCTGCTGCCCAATGGACATGCTAATAAAGTACAGACAGAAGACATCATTTGATGGGCAACAGTTAGAGACAGACCTTGCACGGCATGTTGATGGCGTTCTTCAGTAGCCGTTCCACCTCATTCAATTTCTCCTCAATATCGCTGGCCTCTTTGATTTTTACCAGCCCTGAAACATACATGTGAACGTCTGAAATCTTCCGATCTTGTGTGTTGATTTCAAAAGCAGTTCAAATCAAAAGTAATTCAACACACCAACTCTGCAATTAATCCCGTCTTTGTGAAGCCTATAACCTTTAGGATTTGGTGATGTGTGAACTGTAATGTTGTTGTTTTTTATCTCTGATGTTTTTTACAACGCCTGAACTTTTCACAATACAATACAACAGCATCAATAACTACAGCCTAAAGAATAACATAAAAATATCAACGAATCTCAAGTAAAGAGTCTGAATCAAAACTATTTCTGTGCCTGTGCGATAAAAAAAGGGCAGCTGCTTTGACCTTTATTGCCACCAGACTGTTGTCTGTCCAAACAAAAAGCCAGACGGGTCTGATTTTATCTCTGTAGTCTTGAAAAAGGTTGCTCCAAATGCAAGTGAAACAGTATTGGTCTGATTAGTACAGTAAACTTTTTATGAACAATGATCCCTGATATTAACCCAAAGTAGGAGGAGGGGAAAAAAACAGACTTCTTATCATTGTCTTTGGAACAAGAACACAGTGAGATGCTGTAAAACTGCCAGAGTAATTGCGAACATTTGTAAGACAGTAGTAATAACAGAGGGAAGAAATAGAGAGGAAAGCTACACAATGACGCGTTAATCCTGCATAACACTAGGAATGCAATTTAAGAAGCAGTGGGAGTGTAAAATCAGCACTTTTAGCAGCACAGGGCTGCCGCCCGTGTGAGCGAGCAGTCAGCACAGCATCATTTACTGCCGTGCTGACAAAGGGAAGTGGTGGGGAGAATAATGATGAAGACGGCAGCCACACTGATGAGTCTCTGTCTGATGTAAGTGGTGCAGACAAAACGCAGTCACACAGCGGTTACTGTTACATGGAAGTACCGAGTAAGAGAGCCCAAAGCAACACAGTCACAGTCACAGTCTCATCCATTTATAATGGCCAGCGGTGATGACATCATACCCAGGGGGACGCGAGGAGTGATTGGGCAGTTTAATCATCGCCAGGAACCGACTGAGACTCCCACCCAGTCTGAACCTCATACCGCCTCTGGATCATGTTTGATTAAACTCCCTTTTTACGGTTTTTCCTGTAAAAGTGACAGATATTACAAGTTTAAAAGGCTTATACTGATATATTGTGTTGTTTTGGCAAGTGTTTTTTTTCTGATGCTTGAGAGTTTATTGCCAAATATATGGAAGACACTTTCTTCAGGAAATTCAGTCAAGTTTGCTCACATAATCTGTATTTGCATATAAATATAGATAGTCATGTAAATAAAAATAATTAAATATTTAATGTTGTAAGCATATTTAAAGCAGGCCTACTGTGCGTCACAGTGTGGTTCCCCCTTGTCAACGGTGGGAGAAACTTACCAGAAGTTAAAACTAAACAATTCTCAACAAAGAATATTAGAAACCATTACATTAGTGTAATTTATGTTGATACAATGAAGGCCATTTTGCAAAATGGTTGATTCTCGTGGTCGATTCGGAGCATTAACAGCAGTGTACGTCTTAAGCGGAAACAAAGCCAGGATGATGAACTTCACCACAGAAACTACACCCAGTCGTGTTAGCTGTTATCCTTGTCAACACATTAGTTATGTTTATGTTCTGCCATGTAGGACTCTAACGTTATGAACCCACTGCTCATTATTTATTATTAGGTGCAGGCACCCAGGGTGCACATGGAAACAGGGTGGGGTCAGGAAGAATGTATTATGGTATTATCAGAGGGTGTGTGAGGGACCCCCTTAAAATGTTGTTTCTCCTCCATGACATACTAACAGTTTGGTCATGGAGTAGAGGGCTCAAACATGCTGCATAAGACTGAGGATGTCTCTTTTTCATTTCAGAGTTCAGAGGTTTTTTCAACCATCAATTCAATTCAACCATCTTTGAATTCATTAAAAACTGCTGTAATGCATTAAAACAAAACAAAAGCACAAACTAGCAGACTGTGTGGAGTACTGATACTGAGCTATAACAGGCCTGCTTTGATGTACAAAGGAGAAGTATGCGTGGTAATTTTTTGCAACAGCTCAGTGATGGTTGCGCAAGATTTAATCGCGAATAACCACAGTGGATCTGATGTGTTGCTGTAATTTGAAGACGCACGCCTCCCCTAAATAGAGACATCAGATTCAACGCATATACCTGCTGCCATCCGAAGCATAAGAGGGGACGTTAATGTGCTGTTGTGGCTGACAGATATCTACTCTGCATTCCTGGCATCACTACAATAAACATAATCAGATTCTGTGCGGTTAGACGTGTCGACTGGTTGAAGATGAAGGTAAAACACTGAATAAAGGGGGTTTCTGGAGAGGTCTATCTGGCTCGCATCCATCAAATGAAGTGTATGAAAAGGCAGAAAACTTGGGTGAGCAGTGCTGACTTGGTGCGAGCAGGAGCGCGGCACATAATGCCATCAATCTTGACACCAAAATTGCTGTGTGCCACTTAAGTGAAACCACTCCCGCTGCACCTCTCCTCCCACTGTAAATCAACCAAAGTACCACACAACACAGCGAGTTTCATCTCCAAACACTACGAAATATAATATGTTGTGTGTATATTTTATCTCAGATTTGCTGTTTGTGACAATTACAGGGTTGTCCACTGGATAATGTCTTCAAAGACTTTGTTTTTTCTCCTAACAGAGTCCCTAGTGTATTTCCTCCAATTTCCTCTGAAAGGGTCTATTTCCTGTCTGGCCTTCTAGTGTGGTCTTCTTCAAAATGCGATTGTTCCTTTATGCCCTTCACTCTAAATTACCTCAAATGAGCTTAAGAGGCAGTGTTTATCATGTTCAGTAACAGTACATGGATGCCACATGGAAGTTTGATGTATGCGCATGTCTCGTATTTCTTTGTAATTGCACACTTAAGTTACCCGTCTGTTAGTTGTGTGACAACGCGCCATGTTGACAAGCCACTGCTTCACGTATTAGCTGAAATAACACAGTAGAAGTAGATGCACAACAGGAACTGGACTGTGTCCAAGTCATCCTCAAAGACATTATCTGAAGAGTCATCGCATGTGGTAAGCATCAGCTGTTTCACAGCTATCTCCTGCATGGATCTGATAAGCACATGTCGGCAGCCTGCTTCATCACCTCACCACTAACTCTGCTCAGTTTTGTCATGGAGGTATTTCTGGACACCTCAGTCAACAAGCAGAGGACGTCCAAACTCAGTGAACTACCATGTCCATGAGAGTGTCCGGCTACGCGCATTTCTTTTCCCCTTGTTTCCAGTCTTTATGCTATGCTAAGCTAACCAGCTGCTGGTTGTAGCTCCTATCTAACAGACATACATGTGAGCGATATCAATTTTCTCATCTAACCTTAAACAAGTGAGCGGATGAGTTTATTTCCCAAGATGTCAAACTATTCCTTGAATACCGGCACTAATTCACAAAACCACACACACACCTGTCAGCCAATCAGAGACGAGAGTTTTCAATGGCCATAATATAACATAATATAACACCCTTCAGGTTGTAAGTTCTATGAATGTAATGTAATCTATTCCATAAATCTGTCATGAGGGAAGGAGTAATGTAATGTCCAGTGACCCTCCTTTGTTAATGTGGGAATTAGCGCTGTAATAACCAACTGAGATGATGATTCATCAGTGTCCAAGAACACACTGTGAAGTATTTCTTAAGTAGGTAGTAGTGAATGAGAGTAAGAGGGAGTGATTTCGGACACAGCTTGTGTCCGAATTCCTCGGTGGAATCCGTCTCACATGGAATGTGAGCAAACGCTTCCTGTCTGTGTTCACCCGGGGGTCACATGTAAGGTAAGTGTAAAGGGGCCTTCGCCGACCAGAGGGACTAAATATGGGAAGTCCACTCCTCCCTCTCTCTCTCCCTCTCTCTCATCATCATGACATCCGTCTGGAAGCTCTGCACGCCTTCCTTGTTGCTTAGACGCAGCACAGAAACAGAAAAACACCAGCGGAGCCAGAAACTGGAGCAAAGCGGAATGAGAAAGGCCAGAGCCACACTTTTTCAAAGAGACTTTCAATCTAAGTGGCGATTAGAGGGGATGCAAATGAAATATTGAACAGAGGTAGGAATTAAAGAAAGGCCATTAGGAGAATGTTATTAACCCTGTGGCTGGGTATCCGTCGCATAAATTGTCAAAGCAGCTTGAGTCACTAAAGTAACACTGAGGTCTCCTTCAGTGCCGGATCTGATCCATTCATCATATGAACGGTGACACAGACAGTAAAAAAAAAAAAAAAAGAAGTGAAAAGTGAGTCATGAGATCCAAAATGTCTCTTCCTAAAATGCACTGCAGACTGCGCCGGCAGCAGCGGAGCAGCGAGCTGTCAACAAGCTCGTCGGCTATTTGAGTGCACGGCCAGGAAGCGAAGCTTTTCAGTCACCACTGAGGGGATGTTTCCAAAACATTCGTATAGGCTCAGTGGGTAGAGACAAAAGGGAAGTGGCAAGGAACAGGAACAAGTCGGGAGCTTTGCTAAACTTGTTGGCAGTGTCAAAGGTCCAAACCCTGAGGGCCATGGGTTTAGGATAGATATGGCAAAAGACTGCCCTCTACAAAGCCCTGCAGCTTTGCCATTCAACCTGTAAATCAAGTTATTTTTCATGGACACAGAATGTATCTCTCCATCCATTGCTGTCCTGTAAAAAAAATCTCCAAAATGTCAATTTTTTCCGGGGACAGAATCAAGAATTGTCATCTTACAGCTGGTTATATCTCAGCTCTGGTCTTTACTCTGCAGAGTTCAGAGTTCCCCCTGAGTTGTTTGGGCTCACTCCCACACCGCTAGATATTAGGGACACATCTGTCATCGCCTTTGATTAAAGCAGAACTGGGGTCAGTTCCTGAGCACCAGATAATAGCATGCTCAGACCGCCCAGTAACACCCCCCCCCCTAAAGAGTTATGGTGCGTCAGATGCAGAGAGCAAATTCCACATGGAAGTCAGAGTTGGTAGTTCTCTCCAGTGGGGAATCCAACTTTTAGGCCACAATAAGGTGCATTTGTGTTGCAGCAAAGAAGAGAAGGATTTCAGTGATGATCAACAGAAACTTAAACTAAAAGTGAATAATAGATATCATCATGAAACTTCCGCAGTTGATAACTTACATTAAAACGATTTTTTTTTTGGTATGGAAAGTTTCTGAAATGTGTCGTTTAAATATGCAAATGAGGCATTATCTAATGCAAACTTTTAATAACTTTATTTATAGAGCACTTTTCAAAACAGATGTTTCAAAAAAATTACTTTTGCTTAATTAACGTATGTGAAATCTGCAGACGCAAATAGACAAAAAGTATAAAATAAACACCTAAATGTGTTGATCAGTGCATAAAAAACAATTTTTCTTTTTTGTCTTGCCTTTATTAAGTCCTTTATCAAGCAAATATTTGGCATTTAGTTCCTCCTTCTCAATTGTTTGTTGCAGCCCAATTATATATAGTAGCCTAGTGCAGAAGAAGAGAAAGTTGAGGGGCCCCCAGCCACCTCCTGCCCATGGCCCATAATCTGCAGCTACGCCCTTGATCCGAATTCAACCCTAAAAATATATAATAATAGAAACAACATTTGTGACACTCTGTCACTGTTTTAAATACTCTACCATCACCTTCCTGTCGTATAACTGTCACATTCCCATCAGACCCACCTTCTATCAGCGGAGACTTGGACAGCTCTCTTCTGTCCTCAGGAAAGGACTCCACCAGTCTCTTAAACAGCCGCCCCAGATCGGCGTAACTCCGATGCAAGTATAAAATGTTCCTGTCGGACCACTCCGTCCGGATCTCGAAGAACTCCTCTTCCTCTCCCCGCTGGCTGATGATGAGTCTCCGGATCCCGTTGACCCAGCAGTCCCGAACAAACATGTTGACCAGCGACGTGCCTTCAAACACGGCCGATGCCATTCCTCAGACGTCAGTCCAGCATGCTGGGGCGGGCCGGCGGACAGCAGGGCGAGTGGGCTGAGCGAGTCGGAGGATTTGAAAATAATAATAATAATAATAATAATAATAAAAAATCTGGAAGGAAAGACAACTTCAGTAACTTTTCGGTCTGGAAGCAGCTGTGAGTACGCACGAGCAGGATGAGGATTTGCTCAGCCCATCACACGGCGTCATCTCTCAAACGTGGCATGATCTGAAAAAAACAAAAAAGCAGACTTTAGAGTCATAGATACCGCCCCTGCAACAATTGATTTGCCCATCGATCCGACAAATGTTTACTTTTCTGTCATCTTTGGCAAGACGTCGACGAGATTCAAAATAACAAGTCCAAAGAGCTCTGAAAGTATAAAGTGCTGCTCCCTCCTCCAGTGCGCATTTAGTTTCCTAAAATCCAGAGCATGTCACTTCACACTGTCTGGATGAGCTTTTCTTTCAGCACAGTTTCCTCCCCTCTCCTTCCTCCCTCATTCCTTCCTCTCTCCTTCCTTCCTCCCTCCTTGACAACAGGGTATTATTATGCAAAGAATGCAAAGGGCTGCAAAGACTAAACTGTCCATCTCTTTATTTGTTGGTGAAATAGCTTATGTTTGCTCTTTTTCTTTATTCAAACAACTCTGATTACCTCTGGATGTGATGCCATTTGCCACGTCGCTCCTTAAATCTGGATACTTAATCTGAAAATGAGTCGTTTGGAAATAATAACCACAGAAAAAAAAATTCTTGTGCCAGCAAAGGAGCATTAACATTTGCCTGTGCAAGCGTCTCCATTTCTGACCTCACATAACTCACGTCTCCACTAAATACCAGTATTTTAGCCAATATTTAGCCACAGCAAAAAAAAGATGCACTTCAGCATAATGTCCTCTGTCAGTGAGACTAAAAAAGGAGCAGATCGTTTCTGCGTTGCATGACTGAGCGGCACACTAATATTTCACCAGCAAAAGAGCTTCACAGGAGGTCATGGCTGAGTCAAGTAATGGTGATTCAGCTGTAATGAACTACAGCAAATGGTTCTGGTAAAAGCAATTCATAGCAATAGAGGAAGTAGCATGCTCACTGCAAGTAAAAGCAAGCTGTAGAATACTGGGCAGGCACACCCATGCACACAGAGCTGTGCAGAAAACAGAGTATTGTGCTGTTGAGATTAGAGAAAGCAATCCTGCTGTAATGTGCACATTACATTTTACGAGACAGAGCAGGTGGCTGCTGCAAAGCTCTGCATTCGTGCACGTTTTCAGCTCGCAATTGCACCTTTGTGAGTGTTTCAGTCTCGCTATTGCAAATGTTACGACCCCAAACACAGCGATGCAGCCAGTCGGATAAATATAAAGTGTGAATTTGCCAGACTTAAAACTGTGCAAAGAGTCCTCCTTTCACGTGTGGCAGTTTCATATTCCGCACGTTCAGTTCCTGGTTGCGTCGTAGAGAGGTGGCATATTGGATGGTGATGCTGTCAAAGTGTCTGCATTCAGAACATGTTGCTACAAGATAGAAAATAGGGAAATATAGATGAAAAATGTAGGAACTATTCTGAAGAGTGAGGGACTACTGCTTCTCCGACAGTTCCACTTCGTCATATTCCATTATACACTTGACCTTTCATGTTATTTCCCGGTACTATTCTGTGTTGTTGTCTAGAAAAGTAAACCCCCTTCTGACAGTGTTTTATGTAGGCTATAGTGGAACCAGATTCGTAGTCGTGATCATAACTTCCTAATAAGCAGCATAATTAAATGCATCTTTCCTCATACTGGTGACTTTAAAATGGAGATGAGACAGATTGAATTAACTACTTCTTGCTTTATGAGAACAATGTCTGAAGTAACATCCTTGACAAATACTAAACATACAATACTTTGGTAGTTTTGTGAGAGTATTGAATGTTGAATATTGAAAGGGAAACATAAAGAATGCCGTGGAGCAAAACGTGATCAGCCATCTCAGTGTTTGTTTGCAGAACAGAATATTACAGAGAGCTCCTGTCCGCTGTGTGCACAGTGACCTCTATCATTACGGCAGAAAGTATAGAGTGGGAAGAAAATGACTGTGATGCACTGTGATCATAAAATAGCTGTTGTTGAATTGTCATACAGTGAGATGAGGTGTGAGATGCAGCTTTGTGTAAACCTACAGAGACAGAGGTGAATCATACTGAACAGCAACCAAACCCCAAACGTTACCGTTCCTCTGCTATATGGCTGGCCTTTACTGGAACAAAAGCAGAGACATTAAGAGATAGAGAGTGAGGTTCGAGGTTTGGGGTTTTGATTACGCTTCTGTGAGTGAATTCAACCTCAGTGGACTGCGTCGAAGAACCACGATTTTCTGAGTAACATCGGACTGGCTATACAGCCAGTAAGCCTAGTTGATGCTCCAAAATGATAAATCTGTTGGCCTTTGTCTGCCAACTTTAAATTAGGTCCAAATGAACTTCTTTGCCATTCAGCTCTCCCAAACGGCAGTTTTGCAGCACTGAGGTTTTATTGAACAAAAGAGATGTGTGTTTTCAAAGTAGCTTTGCATCTGAAAGGTTTTATGTTACGTTGCAAAAGTCTAACTAAAATAAATGAAGCCGAGCTAACTGCTCCGTGGGGCAGCGTTTTGAGCAAAATGCTAACATCATCAGCATGCTAATATGCTTACAATGGCAATGTTAACATGCTGATGTTTAGCATCTTAGTTTGGTGTGCTAACATTTATGTTTCAGACGAAACACAAATTAGTATTAGTTTCTTTAGTTTATTATTTGATTGTAACCAAAATGCTGGACAAATCAAAATTTTGACGTGATGATGAAGCTAGATTAAAAGTCAGAGGAACACCAAACACATTCAGATTCATCCTCTGTGCACCAAGAACATCTGTACCAAATGGCATGACAATCCATCTGATAGTTATTGAGATATTTCACTGAAAAATAAATGTGGTGGTGCTAAATGAAAAGTCAAGGGATCAACACAGTCATTAGGGTTCATCCTCTGGGGACCATGAATGTCTGTATTCATAGCAATCCATACAATAGCTGTTAAGATACTAAACAGACAAACAGTCCATCCCTAACTTTAAAGTGTTAGAAAACATGGAAGCACGTTCTGCGAAATAATCTCTTTCTTACTGACACTATAGTTTGACTTTTTCCAAGTATGGAGATGCTTTCGCTGTACTTAAAGCTCGAATGATTACAGAATGATTGTATTACACAGAAAAACCACCTCAGTAGTATCAGAAAACCCCTTCTCTCCCTGTGTAATAATATCTGTCTGTTTTGAACCGGGCTTCAATCTGTGGTTTGCCCACATTTACAGAGTCAGCACATTCTGTCTCAATACCTCATTCCAGTATGATTCCTCAGAAAGAGTATGAGCTTTAAATGGAGAAATAGACTTTTGCCCACTCAACCCTAAAGGCCTTTTCGTGCAGAATTTTTAAACACATTTGTCTCTCGTTGCAACAGAGCCGAGGCCAAAACCCTGTGGGGGAGAAAAGCAAGAGAGAGGAATCGTTGAGGGTTGGTTTGTTTGACGAGAGGCTGATGTGTCACCAGATAGAGGACAGTTTGTTCGTGAGATAGAGGGATAGGAAAAAACGCTCCAAATTGAGGAGCCAGTCTGCACTTTTAATGGACTAAATTAGGATTAGCAACTGGGTTTAGGTTTGAAATAATGATTTTGCTTAGGGTAGGAAAAGGATTAATTCAGGATTAAGAACTTTTTTTTAGTTTTCAACATTTAAGACCTCACGACACTAAAGACCTTTAAAAAAAGTTTCACATTTTGGAAAATATTCACATTTGATTTTTTGCTGACGAGAAGACTGATACCACTCTCACATCTGTCCATCAAGTACGAATCGGGAGTCAGGAGACAGTTAGCTTAGCTTAGCATAAAGAATGGAAACAGGGGGGAAAAGCGAGCCTGGCTCTACGCAAAGGTTAAAAAAAAAAAAAGAATCTGCCAGAAGATACAGCCGCTTATAAGCGTGTTAACTCATTTCTAAAAAGAAAGTAACGAGAAGAGCCTTGAAGGAAAAGCTAACGAAAAAAACTTTTAGTGGCGCATTCAGTGGGGACTATATAAAGTGGATGTTTAGCTTGTAACTTGGGTGGTGGACCAACAACATACAGATGCTGATATTTTGGGCCTTGATTATCGCCCTAGTAAAATGTTACACCCATGTTTAATTATGCAGTTGAGAGAAGGGAAATTAGAGTTTCTACAGCTCCTGTTTACTAATATGCCACTCCCTCAATGCCTTCTGCCACGCCCTAGACCTACAGTCATGGTGTTAAATGATGCCCCAAATTAAAAGAACTTCTGTAGATTTCTACATGAAAATCACCTGTGAACAACAGAGAAGTGACCGCCAGTTTCAAAGTCATTCCGCCCCAGTTGCTCCTGCAAACCCTCGTCCCTTCCCTCGAAGCAAACATAAATTTCAACCACTGACAAGGCCGTATGCTTCGGCCGTGCTCACAAGCCTGCTTCTCTGCCCTTGTAAATCCTATGCCAGTCCCCCGTTCTTTTAGAAAATCAAACATCAGAGGCTCGTAAAGCAAGACTGTTCAGAAAGGAAGAGAAAAGGGAGAGAAACATAAAGATGGACACATCTGTCAGTGAACAAAGAACATCTGCGTTGATGGAAACAGGCGTTCCCTTTTCATTGACAAGTATTGGGAGTTGTGGCGGAGCTTTGCTCTGAGGAAGTCATTCTGGAGCCATAACTCTGTCCTCGTCCACAACAGCAGACAAAACCCAATGAAGAGTGCAGGAGCTGGGGTGAAAGTGGGTTAGCGAACCGCCTGAGTGTTTTTAACAGGCTGTATAATGGACTGAGGTTGTCTTCACTAAGCATCTGCTGGACCTAGTGTTTTATGGCCTCATCCTTATTGTGTCTCCAGCGAAGCTTGGAGAGCAGAGGCCCTAAAAGTCAAGGCACACCGAACGTCTGCCCGCTTTATTTCCCCTCTATGGAGATCCAAGCTCCAACAACAAAAGTCATGAATCACATCTTTATGTGCGTTTGTCGTCTTTCTTGTTCCAGCACTTCGGTAATGCTGCTCAATGTAAATGAACTGCACCATTACAACACGTGGAAATATTCTATGTGCATCGATTTATTCAAGTTCCCTAACTATCCGTTTCCAGGACACATGGGATCTCCATTTTCAATTTAAAAGAAAGTTGTGTATGTTTGAATGCTTGACCACACACACAATGAGTTTGTAAAGAAAGTTTCCCCAATGGACCCGCTAAAGTTTCAGGAGGACTTAAAGAACATTGACATTTGGGGGGAAAAAAGACTAATCTAAGCAGAAAGTGCACAGACACAAAACTGATTATGTGCCTCGCAGCAGTTTTGCAAAAATAATTTGATTTCTTATACAGGGACATGAATTGTTCATATGTTTTGGGACTACATTACGTTGAAAATGACAGTTAGGTTTAGGCAACCAAAACACCGCTGTGTCTGATGGCACAGTTGAAAGTCAGGTATTTGTTGGAACATCCACCTTCCGCCCACCATAAGCAGTCTTTTTTTGATATTAAAAACTACATCACTTGCTCTAACTGTCGCTTCGTCACATGGATGCATTTAATGTTGCATTGTGTGTCCACCACGAAAAAGGATCCTAATTTACTTTGGCATTATTTTCATCCTGAGCTAAAAAAAAAAGAAAAAAAAAAGTTAAACACAAATACATTTCGTGACTGTCACAACCCGCCATGACACTGGGCTGTTATTTCTTGATCGGGAGAAGTGACTTCAATTCAAGCTAGCTGGTTCCTCCAGTGTCAATGCTAAGCTAACTGTCTCTTGGCTCCAACTTCATACTTTAGGGACAAACATGACAAGTAAGTGACTAAGGATATTTCCCAAAAAGTTGAACTATTCTTTCTCGATTTATGACACTTGGAAAAGTTCTGGGTCAAACAGAAACTTAATTACAGACATGAGGCAGGTTTCAAAAAGGCTCGGTCTCCACTGAAAAGCAGGTGGTCATACACAAGTAATCCATCCAAGTAGAGCAAACAAATCCAGACAGGCAAAAGCCAAAAAAAACTGAAAACAAGGCAAAGTTCAAAAACAGACCGCTTACACTTGTGAATTATTGGAAAGCAAACAGCAGAGGGGTTGAACAAAGACAATCCAGCAGCAGAACAGGGAGCATATAAACAAGATAGACTAATGGCAACATCAGAGGCAGGTGAGTAATTGAGGACAGGTGTGAATAATCAGAGAGGCAGGAAACATACAGAGACAGGGGAATGAATAACCTAAGAAAAGGAAAGAAACACCCAACAACAGAAAACCCAAACAAAACCAAAGATAACTGATAACATAGAAACAAAGACGGATAAACTAATAAAGACCACTAAAATATTTTAATGCCAGATAGTCTAAAAATCTGAGCCCTCTGGACACAGAGGCAGAACGGTACAGCACTGTAAACAACCATGTCCAAAGTCATGTTATTTGATGTATCTGTTGTCCAGTTAACACGGTGAAAACATTCAGCAAGACGGATTAAAAAAAAAGGAAAAAGCATATTGCACAAACAAAAGTGCCCAAGCTTCATCTTAACAAACTGGTCACGCAACATAATAAATCATAAACTGTATGACACAAAGTCAGACACTGTCTTCAGCAGCACACACCATTAACCACTGTATAGGTCCATGATTTACTGGACATACTGGGACAGAGGTCTCAACTAATGGAATAATGTCTCCATGACCGACACTTTAATCTGCGGTGAGACCTCCAGCTTGCAACTTTACCATATAAATCTGAGATACACTGTAGCTCCCAGGCTGTGAGTTACACCCTGTTCGATTTTTTATATAAATTGCTTTATAATGGGAAACTTAATCAAAGGAAATATTTTTTTTTTTACATTTTTTAGTCCAGCCTACACAAAATAAGATGTCATTAAAACACTTAATGATAATGGTAACACCTGCAGGACTATCATCTGCCAGAAGCACGTGTCCCATCTGCCTGAATGTCAACATTAATGCTGTTCTAGCTACACGCCTCCATTACTTTCACTGTGAATAAGCAACCACAGGTGCCTCACAATAACACGATTTACTGCTTCATATAACACTGTCAAGTGAGGATAATAACCATCCCCTGAATGCACTTGCAACCTTGAATGCCACGTGATTTCACCGAGCTGTGTTAGAAGCGACTGCTTAGTTCTTAAATTTAAACTTTTCTTTCCATTGCAGCACGATGTCTCAGATCTGATTGTGTCTCTCAACGAGGCAAAAAACACCAAATCAGATGTGGTGTTTGATATTTTATACACTTGCTGGGTAACTATCACATTGTGTGGTTTCCCTTCTGAGAATGATTAACATATTTGATGATGGACTTTGCATGTGTACGTCTCAGCAGGTCTGATGAGTATCGTAAGGCTGAGGCTGCAATCACACTAATATGCCAGAAATGGAACTTGCATATCTCATTGTGAGTGCAGAGCGGATTCAAATGTATATTGCATACAAACAACAAACGTCCGTAGAAAAATATTGGGTTTCTACTCTTTTTTTCCAGTATGGAACACTGAACTTCATCTTTAAAATATGAGATTTCAGGAAACTATTTGTCTTGTGCACAGTCCATACAATAAATACCTTAAAATATATTCTCCTGTAGAAGATCAAATGAAAGAGAAAATTTAAATCAAGCACTCATGTAACATTTGTTTTTATCATACCAATGGGGCACAGTGAGGAGCACAACCCCCTCATGCAGCCCATGATGCACAATGGGCTCTTAAAAACCACTAATTGACTTCCAGGGCCATCCTGTGGTACGAGAAAACTAAGCAAATTCCCAGAATCTGCCCTTTGCTGTTTTTCCTCTGCGTCTCAAAGGTTGCTCCCGAGGCTCCTGGTGCGATAGTTCAGTATTTAACACAGTAAAAGTCTGTATGCTTGCAGATAAACTGCAAAACTCAAGCAAAATCTGAACACTCTTCAGGTTATGTGTAATTTTAGATAGATTGAGTTTCTCATTCAAGGAAATATGTTTTTTTGGAGGTTTAGAAACCCTAAAACTTTTTTAAACACAGATATAATAATACAAATATATGTCAATTCATGTCAGCTGTCAGCAGTGGGGGAATATTATAAGTACATTTACTCATGTATTGTACTTAAGTACAGTTTTCTAGGGTATTTTCTGGCATATTTCTATGTTATGCTACTTTATACTTCTACTCCACTATATTCTGGTGGGGAATATTGTACTTTTTTACTCCAGTTCAATTATTCGACAGATTTAGTTACTTTCCATTGTGGTATCACCACTGAATACTTCTTCCACAGCTGGCTGTCATCTTCTTTATTAAAGCCTCCTGCTGTGTGTTCATGTACTGTAAAGCTACGCAAGCACACACCCTGGTGGACAAAAGACTAAACTTGGTCCACCAATCCGGATTGCAGTTCCACGCCAGCCCAACAGAGGGAACATCGGTATTTTGGTGCCATTACAATCTTGTGTTCAAAATATTTGAAGAAGAAGAAGAAGGCACCTCAGCTGAGGAAAATGGCCGACGTTGAGATGGACATCGCGTCCACAAGAATGAATAATGGCAACGAACACGTGTAAGTCATTTGATTTAAAATACGATGTCCTTGTTTGTCAAGTGTGAAGGCTTTCCCCGTCCGAAATTAAAACGGAGATGTTCTGTAAGTTACAAATGCGGAGTAACAGCAGCAGCTTCACGTTGTTACCGGGGCTAATGTTAGCTAAATTACTTAGCAACGGCTGGCTAATGTTCTTCGCCAACTTGCTAATGCTCTTTAGCTCAACTAGCATCAAGATGAGCAAAGGAGTAGACGTGTACATCATCAGAATTGTTGTATATTAACCTCCATAACATGGAGCTGTCCGATCACATAGTCTAAGCACTCGTATTTTGGTCGCACGCACCGATCCTGTAGAGCAAGCTAGCATAGCTACGAGCTAACATAGCTTAACATAGCTACAAGCTAACGCTACCCGAGGATGAAGCTCGCTAGCTCCAAGTTTGCTAAGAACAATTAGCGTTAGCGTAGTCGAGCTAATGGAGGAACATCGTCTTGGCGGTCGTGCTCAGGGGAAACGAGTGCATGGTGACAAATAAGTGTTGTTGCGACACTAATCAGCAGATGTATCTCACTGAAAGTTGGGGCCATTATTGTTAGCGTTGCTGTTCAGCTTTAGCTCCAGTTTATAGCTAAATTCAGCACATTACGTAACCACGGTGTACCAATGAATGCTGGAAGAGGAGAGCAGTCTTCGATGGTGTAATTTAGCCAATATAAAAACCATATTTCATGTATTTGTATTGTATTTGAAGTGGCCTCTCTAATGAGTATTGTAAGGTAAAAAAATCACCATAGTACCAAAAGTTTGGAATTTCTTTATGACAACAAAAGTATAAACACTCTGGTTGCAAGAGGAGAGACAACTAAAGAAAGCTTCCAGGGATTATTGTCATTATCAGTTAATGCACTGATTATTTTGTCAAATAAGTGATTAAGTTATATAGAAACTGCATTATTATGGACCGGTTATGTCATGACTGATACCTGATCAGATTCATACCATTTGCATTAGACCAGCCAGGGTTTCCTACAACACTGTTGTCAGTTACTCCCATCGATCAACACATCCTGACTGGTCCTTCACTGTGTAATATTGTGTGCTCAATATTTAAGATTGTAACTCTTTTTAAAACAGGAAGCAGGATCTGGAGAGCCACGTAAGAAGTGGAAATGAGGACAGTGGAGACGTGTCGGAGGAAGAAGAGGGGGAAGAGGAAGAGGTAGGGGTGGACATCAGCAAGACCTAAATATCTTCAGTGGTATGATGCCATGATTCCGATATGAACTTTCTACCTTAGTTTGATTTCACTTAAACAGTCTAAATTTAGTTTGTCTCAAACCGTAGTGCTTCATGTCTGCACTGTGATGGTATTCTGCTCAATTTAACAAAAAACAGTGTCATTTAATATTCCTGCAGTTTTTTTCCACATATTGTTGTTGATAGCATAACAACTCATGACGAAATACATCCAATGATACCCATATTCATGCTGTTATGATCACATGTGTCATCTTGTCATATAATATACCATGTGACGGGAAGAGAATAGACATCTATACATTGAAATAATCTTAGACCTGAATGAGCTGTCAAGCTGAAATGTTGTCTGGTCCTAGCAGGTGGAGGCTAATGGTGAGAAGACAGAAGATGGGCCAAAACATCACAGCAGCAGCGGTAAACACAAGAGGAAAAAACACAAGCATCGCAGTAAGCACAAAAAACACAAGCATGCCTCTGACGAGGACAAGGACCGCAAACGCAAGCATCGCCACAAACACAGGAAACACAAACGCAAAGAGGTCGCGTCTCCCTCTGCTGCCACCCTCTTTGCCTCCTCCGGCCACAAAAAAGTTGAGTCCTCTCCCTCCTCTGGAAATCCAAGTCTGGACGACCGGGCCCTGCTGGAGGATCTGGAGAAGCGGAGGGCCATGATCAAAGCTGAGCTGGACAGCCAGTTGATGGAGGGCAAGGTCCAGTCGGGAATGGGCCTCATCCTCCAGGGTTACAACTCTGGATCTGAAGAGGATGCAGAAGGTCGGATCAGAAATGGAGAACAACGTCAAAGGGGAAGCTCAGGTAAACCCATATCACCCAGAGGGGGGAAAGGAGGGAAATCTAGACGGGACTCAACAGACGTTAAGTCCAGCTCCAAGCGTCGCAGTCGGAGTAAGTCGGCGGAGAGGCTGGGACAGGCCAAGGAGTCTAAGCAGGACAAGGTGACCAAAACCACCAAGGACACAGCCGTTAAAGACAGAGGCCGCGGCAGAAGCCGGTCGAAAGACAGAAAGCATTCGGACAGCATGGATAGGTCCAAGGAGGGAGCCGGGAAGTCCAACTCCCCCACCACCTGGAGAGGAGAGCAGAAAGGCGGCCGCGCTGATAAACGTTCCTCCCCGCAGCGGGACGACAGACCAAACCAGGAGAGAGCGCCCCGGCGGTCCAGATCACCTGGACGAGAACGACCAGGTCGCTCAGATGCCGACAAACGGCCCACCAAGTCCCCGTCCAAGGACGCGTCGTCGGGGAAGGAGAACCGCTCCCCTCACAGACGAGGGCCTCACAGCCCCATGAGGAAACGCAGCGCTTCCCCTCGTCACAGAGATGTCCACCACCCCCCGGCTACTGCCGTGGACAGGACATCGAAACCGAGCTACTCTCCGTCCAAAACAAGGTCTCCCCCCAGGAGACCCCGCAGCCGCTCACCAGACCCCAGGAGGAGGGATGCTGACAGGCAGGACTCGCCGATGAGGTTGGTGATCACAGTTCATTCATGAATGCTTTAGATGATTTAGAATGTCCACTTCAGCTTGCGTGTCCGCTCCTGATGTTTCTACAGGAAGCGTCTCCGGCCAGATGCAGGGCCGGGCAGAGACTGGTCCCGCGAGAACAGTCCCAGAATGGCCGCTCGCCGCAGGATGAGTCGCTCGCCTTTAAGACGGAGGTCACCAATGTCACCACGGCGGCGCTCCCGGTCTTCCCCCCGCAGACGGAGCCGGTCTCCATTGGGACACAGGTGATGGCACTTTAAACACAACTCACTAGAGGATGTTTCTCTGAGTTGTATTTAGTCTGGCATTTGTTGTTTGTACATTTGTCTTGACTTAAATTCCATGTTAGCTTCCCTCTCTGCAACTGGAGTATACAGTATTGTGTCGAGACGTTTTCATGTTGAATGATTACCGAGGTAATAAACTATCCCCTCCTTGACATCCATGCCTTGTAGGTCTGGAGAGAGAGACCGGTACGGAAGACTCCGACAGTACCGGCGCTCAATGTCCCGCGACCGGGGGAGAAGAAGAAGACGCAGCAGAGACGAGGACAAGTTTAAGGGTAGCCTTTCAGAGGGGATGAAAGTCGACAAGGAATCCTCGGGGGAAGAAGTGTGAGTAGAAGAAGTTGGCCTTTATGTTTCCCTGCAGGTCATACTTAAGAGGAAAACAATAGACATCTACTACACAGATGCTGTTGTTTAATTATTAACACAATTATAGGCCCATTGGCCCTGATAATAACAGGAAAGTGCATTTTGTGTTTCGCAGGTTGGAGGACTTTGATGGAGAGGAGGTAGATGAAGAAGCTCTCATCGAACAGCGCCGGCAGCAACGTTTGGCCATCGTCCAGGTCTGTTTACATCTGTGCTGATCCACACCTGGGTATTATTAGTCACTATGTCCATGGCTGAGCGTGTTTTGAGTTTGTATTCTCATGGTCGCTCACTTCCTGCCACAGAAATATAAGCCTGTGAGCGACGACACCAACATGGGGTCGGAGCCCAGCAGCCCTCAGAGCAGCACACGCAGCCGCTCGCCCTCACCCGACGACATCCTGGAGCGAGTCGCCGCAGACGTCAAGGAGTACGAACGCGAGAACCTCAACACCTTTGAGGCCAGCATCAAAGCCAAGCACAACCTCATCGCCCAGGAGAAAGACGGTAATGTCTTGGTCAGAATGATCCAAATCTGTCGGCACACGAGGCCAACTGAATGTACGCGGTCAGGCGTGCGCGCGCCGTAGTTAACTACGGGTGTCAACGTGCAATTAATTCCTCTATCATTATTAGCGGAGGCTTGGGGAATATCTCCGATATATGCCGGGGAATAGTTCATATTTATGTGTAAGTTTTGGCGCTCACACATGTCAATCATCGTCCAAACACTTCTCAGAAGTGGCACTTCCTCATCGTTCCTCTCACGATAACCACATCTTAGTGACGATGAAATAAGTTGAGCACAGAAGCAGCTCCGTATAAGCGGTCTGTGGCTGAATGGGGTCAGCTTGTCCCAGGTAACTACAGCTCCACTAAAACCTCTGAAATGTAGAAAAGAGAAGTGGCTCAGCTTCGTACTGAAGACCACAATCTTACGTGATCATGGAGATCAGAACCTGAACAGCTAAAAGCTCCGACCGGGACAGTGATTACTAAGAATGGTGTCTCTTTATTTTCCTGTCTTTATAGGAAGCAAAGTGGCTTCTTTTTTTTATCCCCAGTACAATCATGGTCCGCTAACGGCAGATACCGAGGAAGTCCAAATTGCACTCTAAAAGTGCTTTACTTTGCACTTCCCTGCAGTTCTTGTGGCCGATGTCACACTGTGATGACGCTGACCGACCAAAGAGTGGTGGTCTATACGGAACGAAAATAGCTTTCGGTGGCTTGACTTGTGTGAGAAATGCAGAGTTGGTTTTAATGTTGTTTCTTTCTATCATGTGTTCATTCAGTTGCTGGCTTGTAACCCAAAGCCTGATTGTCTCTGCCACCTGCAGCATGTTTTGATCTCTTCAGAGTATGTGAATCAAACACGTTCCAGCTCTTCTGTTTTACAACATGGTGGATGATTAGAAGCTGTAACTTTGTCTTGTTTTATTATTGTTTGTTTGTTTCAGGAGCCAACCCAAAGAAGCCTTCAGCCCCCGACATGTTTACGGAGTCAGACGACATGTTCGCTGCTGACTTTGATGTGAGTGTTTTCTGTCGGGAATCAGGAAAATAAGATGAGAGGAAAGCCTTTTTAAGAGTCTCAGCAGCCGTTGTGAGCCACTGACCTCATATCTGTGTCGTTTCTGCAGAATGCCCGGATGAGAGCAGCGGGTGTAGGGAAGGACTTCAAGGAGAACCCCAACCTCAGGGACAACTGGACCGATGCTGAGGGCTACTACCGTAAGTGCTGCCTCCCAAATCCTTTTCTTTTCTCCGACAGCTGTCGTCCGGAGGTGGACTGTAACAAGTATCTCTTGTTATTTAGGGGTGAACATCGGGGAGACACTAGACAAGCGCTATGATGTTTATGGCTACACGGGCCACGGTGTCTTCAGCAACGTGATCAGAGCCAGGGACACTGCCAGGGCCGGCCAGGAGGTGGCAGTCAAGATCATCCGCAACAACGAGCTCATGTGAGTCGGCCCTGTTTTTTCTCCATGAATTTCACAAATGTATATCCAAACAAGTATAGATACCACTCCTGATTGAATTTGTATTGATGAACAACATGATTTTTTTGGGGTCAACAGGCAGAAGACCGGATTGAAAGAGTTAGAATTCCTCAAGAAGCTGAATGATGCCGATCCCGATGACAAGTTCCACTGCCTTCGCCTCTTCAGGCACTTCTACCACAAGCAGCATCTTTGTCTGGTATTTGAGCCTCTCAGGTACTGTAAAAGGAAACCCTCCTCCTCCCCTCTCGTCATTTCAGTCCCACTGCAGCATTTATGCGACGACCTCGCTTCCTACTTACCTCTTGTATTCTCCTCCGTAGCATGAATCTGCGGGAGGTCTTGAAGAAGTACGGTAAAGACGTCGGGCTCCACATCAAGGCTGTGCGTTCCTACAGTCAGCAGCTATTCTTGGCCCTGAAGCTGCTGAAGCGGTGCAACATACTCCACGCTGATATCAAGCCCGACAACATCCTGGTACGGTATAAATACCCCATCTGAAGATCAAGCTTATAGAATGATGATCTTGTGTGTACTGATGTTTTGTCCTTTTTTTTTTTTTTTAAAAGGTGAATGAGTCAAAGACTATTCTGAAGCTTTGTGACTTTGGTTCTGCGTCCCACGTCGCTGACAACGACATCACACCGTACCTGGTCAGCAGGTTCTACAGAGCTCCAGAGATCAGTGAGTGGCATCGTTTGTATGAATCGACCATTGATCAGTAGCGATTCAAACCGGACCTCGCTCACCGTTTCTTTCCGTCCCAGTCATAGGGAAGCCGTACGACTATGGGATCGACATGTGGTCCGTTGGCAGCACTTTATACGAGCTTTACACTGGCAAAATCCTGTTTCCCGGATCCTCAAACAATCAGATGATCAAGCTAGCAATGGACCTCAAGGGCAAGATGCCCAACAAGGTAAAGTTGCATCATATCATTTCAGATATTGTTTCCCTCTCCGAGATGAGTTGTGTTGCTCTTCCATGCGGTGCTCAGGAACCTACGGCTGATGCAATATCCTCGATTTCTTTCCTCAGATGATCCGTAAAGGCCTCTTCAAAGACCAGCACTTCGATCAGAATTTGAACTTCCTGTACATTGAAGTAGACAAAGTGACAGAAAGGGTAAGGTGTTCCTACTTTCTTCAATGAATGAAATGTTCTGTTTATTGACTGTTCAGGTCTTACGCCCAGTGTTTGATACATGTTGAGAATATTCTGGTCATTGATTCAACAGGAGAAGGTGACGCTGATGAGCACCATCAACCCCACCAAAGACCTGCTGATAGACATGATCGGGGGCCAGCGGCTGCCCGAGGACCAGAGGAAGAAGGTGATGATGCTGAAGGACCTGCTGGATGGCACCCTGATGCTGGACCCAGCCAAACGCATCAGCATCAACCAGGCTCTGCAGCACCCCTTTATCCAGGAAAAGATCTGACCCCCTGAACGCCACGCACTCTCAGAGCAGACACAGAACCAACCACTAAAGCAGCTCTGACCGGACCTGACTCTGCAGCGATGCAGCCAACCCACAGACAGGATTTTTATTTTTCTCCCTCAACTTTATTTTGTTTATGGATTCCTAATTGTTTTATTGTAAATAGCTCATTGAAAAATGGTAGCCATTCTTTAAGACATTGATTTTGCGATTCATCATTGTAACACCCCCCCCCCCCCCCCCCAGCCCCTCATACCCGGCAAATGCAGTTATGGACTTTTTATTTTTTTTGGTTTAATAACTGCCATTGGAGTGACGGATATTTAATAGAAAAATATAATTCCTGTAAATACTGTATGTCAATCACAGTAAGCATCTCAAGCAGCAGACAGTTGAGTCTCGTCGTAGTTGCAGAAGACTAAAGTACATCGGTTCTTTCTTTTCTTTAACCACAATTGTCATTGTGGGGCGATGCATGCTTTTGAATGTGCACCCTTTGTGCTCTAGATTTCTGTGGTGCAGAACTGTGTAAATGCTCTGTGTGTCTCCCCCACCCCCCATTTCTAACCAAGTCTTCAGGCCTTGGGGTCTGAATTGAAGGAATAGATGCATATTATGTACTCCTTGAAACCAGATATTTCTTTGTCATTGTTTTCTGTTGCTGGACATTTCCATGTTTTTTACCTTCCTCCCCCTCCAGCACTCTGGCTCGGTCCTGGCTCTTAAGGCTCTCACATTCAAGTGCCTCCTGTATGAGCCTAGTGTGTTCCACCACCAACGATGTGGGCCTGTTGAAAGCCACACCTGTAACCCTCCTCTCCCATTGTTGTATATAGTCCATAGTTACTGTCATTTCATCTGTGGTTAATTATTGTTTTTTTGTTTTTTTTCCATTAAGTGGTAAAGAATTTGTGATTTCAATAAAGAATAGTTGTGGAAACGCTGCTGAAAGAACCTTCAGTATAAGAACACTTTTTAGTAATAAAATGTTTCCTATTGTATACCACACCCCTTTCTTCATTTGATCCCCAACACGTGCTGAATGACGTAATGTCCTGTACATCCTGTTCATCAATAACTCTTCATATGAAATGAAGTGTTTTATCAGAAGCGAAGCCGTCATGGAACTGGATGTTCCAAAAAAAAAAAAATAGCCTTTTTTTGATCCTTGTACCCAACTAAGTGCATTCTGAAGATGGTAAAAGAGTGGGAGGAGACGTTGCTGCTCCCTCAGAGCACTAGGAGTAAAAGTCGGTCCATCTTGTGACCAGTCGGTATAAATTACAGCGCTAATGCTCCATCTCCGCAGTGGAAAGTCTTAACGGTGTCGCATGATGGCACTTGCGTTGAGCTGCTGAAAAGCATAATGGGAGACTCACTTAGGAAAGTTTTGGGGGGAATGATGCGAGAGCTCTCTGCCTGCACGAAGCGCACTAAAAGGACTTCTGATGGGAGCTGATGGGGCTGCCGGCCTGTAAATACATGTGGGCTACAGAGGTCCGTGTGAATGAGCAGGGAGACTAACGCCGACTGGCTTTAATCTCAACGTACAGAGACGAGGGCTTTTAATGCGAATGTGTAACCAAACGACTGTATAATCACGCTATTAAATTCATGAGGACATTCACACATTGCAGAGCTCCCGTCGGACAATGCAGTTGTAGTTTATCGTGATGGTCAGAAGAGGGCGTCAGAAGTTCTAGATATTCAACATGACTGAAGTCACTGATGGTGACTGACCTTGGAACTTTTTATTATTAATGAAAATCTAAAAAGTTAAATCATTTGATACAATTAAATTGCACAACAGGGTTTATTTGAATGTGGGTTGATAAAGTTTTATCGTAATATAAGGAATGTGTGCACAATTACTGAAGAAGTATCTTCTTTTCTCTAGATACAAAAACTGTAACTCAAACTATTATGACTCATCTATTATTGAAACCAGTATCAAGAAGAAAAGAGACTTAAAATAAAATGTATTTTTAATTTCTTTTCTCATTTTTATTAAAACCATACAAACATTTGTAGTCAGTTATAAAAGAGCGAAGTGGCTCTTCTGGCGGAGGGGCCGTGCTGGGCACTTGAAGCTCCGCTCTGAGCCAGATGTGTCTGGCCTCTGCCCCGGGGCCTGGGAATCCCTGCTTTCAAAGTCAATTCTTTATTGGCCCCAGGATGCTCCCCATTTCCTCTGCTAAACCTACAGAAAGAGTACTGTATTTACACATTATATATAAAAGAGCACAATAAATGTGAAAACTTAAAAACAAAATCAAAGAAAAGTAGAATGCATTTCGCAAATCTTAACTTTTCTGATAGTCAGACTTTTCTTATATAAATGTTTTCTGTCATTTTTATCTTTTTTTCAGGTCTCACAAGACACTTTACACGTTCTTTTTTTTCATAATTCACAATGGAAGATTGGCAGTGATCTTTCTCTTTACCGACAGGCAGATACGTATAAGGCACATACCTCAATGTGATTTCCTTCTTTCAAAGGAAATGATTTCTACTTCTTTGAAAAACAAAAAAAAAAAAAAATAATAATAATGCACAGCTACAAACCAAAGTACCAAAGAACAATAAAACAATTTGTACCTCATTGCTTTGACGCTGAATAAAAGGTAAACTACTCAATATTCTGTGTTTCAGTCACATCAGACTGCAAGGCAATACTAACACTGTTGACAAAGTCACTGCAATACTCGACGGCAGTACACAACACATTCTGACTTTAAGAGCTTTGGAGAAAACAATACAGATGATTTCCTATAAAACGAAACACGTCACTTTACAGCATTTATCATAATGAAGAGGGAGATTCATGTGCTGTGGACCGCCGTTGGTCGTTAAAACGTGAAGTACTCATATCTACTTATGTAAGCGTACATTAAGCACCAAATGGGACCTTTGATCATCGAGGAGGAAATGATTTTTCATATCGGCTCCAAACAACCGTGCAATCCAACGTCAATAATCAGATTATCACAAACAGAACATAAAAAACATTGTTATATACACTTGTGAGTACCTTTCCAGACTAACTAAATCAAGATATCAAGGAGACGACTATCGACGGCGCCTCGAAGACTCGGATGTGTTCGATACCATACCGCAGTTACTCTTGACAAAAACACCACTTGGTAAAACTTGGTAGAAGCACTGAAACATTTACAGATTCACAAAAATAACGTACAAACAAAATGACAACAAATGTAAATACACCACTTATTAAAAACCTATGATATATAAAGTTATCATCAGGGCCTGTTAAATCAATGACCCACCTGCTGTTACAAGTATGGGCATGTACCTGTGGGATGAGAAGGGTAGATACTTGGCACACGGGCTGGTCTATGTACTCATATAGACAGTGTTCATGTTTAACCTTGAATACATGCATTTTTACCAACAGTGTGTACAGCAAAAACAGTGACAATACACAGAATACTGTTTTAAAGAAGTGAACTTTTGCTCACCTTCACACAGAAATACAAACAGAAGAGCTTCCAAAAATAGCCTACATTCCAGAAAAGGAATACAACTATTTATCTTTACATCATTTTGACACATCCCCATTTCTGTGTGGGATGACATTTTTACAAAATAAATGGGTTTGGCAACTGCCTATTCCACAACACTTTTAAGTACATAATAAAGTTCTCATAATTGCCACTTTGGTCTTAAATCTTCACATACACCAGAGTTTTTCTCTTCCTTTGTTTTCCATTTTTTCCTAACGGAGGAGAAAGCAGAGAGAGAGGGAGAGAGCAGCTACTGAATGATAGCAAGGAACTTGGTCTCCTCAGCCAGTGTGGTGAGGAGAGAGCTCATGTCCCCGATCGCCATGTTGTTTAAGCCGGGGGCCACGCTGTGGAAGGCCGCGGATGCTCGAGGGGTGGTCAAGCGCGATGAGGTCCTGGACAGACCCTGGAAGATGGAGGGACTCAACACACCTGAGACCAGGCTACCCTGGTCATAGCCATCCTCCAGCATGGCGCCAAAGTCCAGACTCACCCCCTCGTCTAATATACCAGGCACATTGCCCTCCATTGTGCTGGTCACCTGGTCTGTACCAGGGGAGAGAAGGGCGGCCGAGTTCCCGCTGCCACCGCCAACAACTCGGCCCACAGACTCGGCCATGGAGTTGAGCAAGCACTCGTCCTCCAGGACAGGGAACGAGGAGGCCTTGCAATCTAATGGTTCGTAAGAGAGGCAGTCACCAAAGCCCTGCTCCAAGTACCCATGGTCTGGGGCCTCCAGTTTCAGCCCAGATACCTGATGTGCAAGGGAGCAGTGGTCCCCACTTCTCTGCAGTTGTTGCTGCTGGTTGAGAGTAGCCTGGATCTCACCAGAGTTCTCTGGATTAGGGTACTGCTGGGTCCTGACCAAGTTCCTGTAACCGTCGGGTGGGCGAGGGACATGGACCTGCCGATTGTGATGAAGAGCAGTTCCCTGGGAGAGGCTGGGGAGGACGTCCAAAGAGGCCCTGCTAAGGATTAGGTTGTTCCCGATCTGGCAAGAGGTGTTACTGTTGTGGTTCTGCTGGAAGTGGCTCTGTTTCGGAGGTCCATTGGAGGCCTGCTGTTTGAAGCCCTGCTGAGGAGGCCCATTGCTAATCTGTGCGAAGTTAGGCCTTCCGAAGGTGTTTGTAGAGTTGTCACCTCTCATCTCCATGCAGGAGTTGGGCGGTGTCTCTAGCTTCACCGCGGGGTTAACACAACAAGCACTTTGAGACTGATTAGCCTGGGCACAACTGTTCTGGAAATCAAGGGGTACTTGCTGCTGAACCACCATGTTTCCAAACCTGCCAAAAGGCGCAGATACGGGTCCGTGTTCAGCGCCCGACCACCTTCCACACTGTGTCTGGTGGTTTTGTTCCCTCTGAGGGGGCCTGTCAGCACTCCCGGAGCTCACTTCATTCCACTGGATGGGAAGCTTACTGGGGCTCGTCTTCTCTGCTGTCGGCTGCGGCTGGAGACTGTGGGACCCAGCGAAGCCCATATTCAACCCTGACGTCTGGATCTGTTCTATCTCCTCCATAGGTGGATGGGAGGTGTCCCTTTGGCTAGTAGCTATTTGGTCCTCAATGTGCATGTAGGAGCCACCGTCCACCTGCTCCTGGGAGTGGAGATACTGCACCAGGTCATCTGGGAGCATATCCTCATCCCCGAGCAACAGGCCAGGCTCGTCCTCCATGGCCAGGGCTTCTAAGGCCGCGTGTTCTGCGATGCTCGGAGTGTACGGTGAGTGCTGCAGGCCTCTCTGCAGGTTGCCCTCTGAGCGTGTGTAGTTCTGTAGGCTAAAGCTGCGAGTTTCAGGTGTAGAATGATGAGACAGAGGTGGAAGAGGGTGGAGGTTGTTAAGGCTGTTGAAGCGTTGTACTGGGGGCAGACTGCTAATATCACGAGCCTGCGTCCGCACGGGGTCACTGGCCCTCCGGTTCCCATTCAGTGGTCCCTCGCCGGGATAGAGGACCCTCCTCCTGTAACCTGCATGTCCCGTGTACCCGTTGGTGTACCCGTTGGTGCCATCACCGCAGCACTGTGGCCTGACTAGAGGCGGCAAAGAATGGTTGCTACCACCCTCATCCATCATGGCCATGCGAGTCTTCAAGCTCATGCGCTCCATGTTGGGAAGAGGCGTGGGAGGTGGGCCGCCAGTTGCTGCTGCATACTTGGCTTTCAGGTGGTAGTGCTGCGCTGGGGTTAAAGTGAGCATCCCCCGTGACCCCCCTCCTCCTCCCACACCTACTCCTCCTACACCTCCACAGCCCCCACCTGAGAGTATTCCTCCACCCCCTCCTCCTGTCCCACCTCCATAATGGCTTGCCTCGCTGGACCGGCGCGAGGCATCGGTGGAGATGGGGTCGTAAGAGTCGGTGGAGCTGAGGTTGTGGTTGCGGCGGTGGTGGGCGGCTGCCATCGTGCCCTCGCTCTGGGAAGCCTGGCTGG